ATTCATCATATATGAGAAGTTGTTATTCATAAATTATTGTAGATAAAGTGTATTTATCCTCAAGATGTTGTAGATGGAAGGTTTTGTGTGGAATCTTTCTAATCTGCGTCACATTGAATTGTCCCCAATTGGGGATGCTCGCTTGTTGGAAATTATATGTTAGCTTTTTTGGAATTGTTATGATATGTTTTTGGAATTGGTTACTGGTAAAGGGTTCAATTAAGGACAACTCAACCCTTGAATTGAACTCCATAGAAAGTATGAGTCCTGAAATTGTCTCCGGGTCGAAATGTTGCCTTTTATGCATAGAACTGTCTGAAACTTTATGAATAGAAATGCTATTTCTTACATAGAACTATCTGAAGCTTTATGGATCGAAATGTTGCCTTTTATGCAGAATTGTTGTTATTCTATGAAATTTGCAAAGCTTTTTGGGATTTATGAAATAGAAAGATGTTTGTGTGGTATGTTAGTATACAAAAGGCTTTGATCGGTATTTATGAGGAAATCGCATCAGTGTGCAAAATTGCATCAGAATAGAGCATTATAAATTGGTATGCTTTGACTACCAGTTTTGCCCCATGTGAAAATTGCATCATTGTTTTCAAAACTGCTTTGGACAGGGGTTTTATAATTTGGTTGTTGGTTCATTAGTAATATTGAATTAGCTTATCAAAACAGAATTTTTAAGAGCAATTCATGAGCTATTTTCGAGTACAATGCACTGGTAAATGAGCACTTGCACGCTGCAGTTGTACATGTCTCACTGTTTTTTGTTAAAATTCTAGTTCCATTGTTCGTAAATTGATGACTGTTGTAGAAGTAATGTGGAGGAAGTTGGGTTCGAACCATCCATGTTTCGTGGCTGATCAGGTTTATTTTTTATTTTTTCATGAAAAATGAAGCAAAGCCTTATTTTGCTTTGTTTCTTTATCTCATAATTTAGTACAATTTTCTCCTATAGTTTGTATGCTGAGAAATTTGCATCAAGTTTATAAATTTTTTGTTGACTTACAAGTTTTACTTGATACTTATATTTTAAGTTACTTATAGTTCCAGCATGTCTAAGGCGAATGAAAGGGGTTCGTCTGCTATGTGAGATAAAGAAGAAACAAATATTTTTTGTGATATATGTATTAAAGAAATAGAACTGGGAAATAAGTCAACCACATATTTTAACAAGGAAAGTTTCCAAAATATTGCGAAGATATTCAAAAAATTGACTGACAATGATTACGGCAGGCTAAAATTCAAAAACAAATAGGACTAACTGAAGAAGAAATGAAAATTTTGAAAGTAGCTCAAACGTGGATCTATCGGTTTGGGTTGGGATCTCATTAAGTGGACAATCGAGGCCCCAGAAGAATGGTGGACTGAGAAATTAGAGGTAATTTTTATACTTTTATTTTGATTTACATTATTTTTTTCTCCAATAAACCCACTTAACCCCTTCCTACATTACAATGTCACAGGCAATGTCGTCAGCGAAAAAATATAAGTAGCATGGAATTAACCCGGACTTCGAAGAAAAACTCGACATAATGTTTAAAGAAGTTGTCGCGACGGGAAAATTTGCATTCAACCCTAGTGAGATGGGTTTTACAAGCATACCAAATGCCTTCCCATTTGAGTCGTTGACAGCTGATGAAGAAGTGCGTAGTAACCAAAGGGAGATGGGGGAATCCAGTTCACCATCAAAGAGGCCCAGGCTTGGTAGGAGAAATAAAGAAAATGACACTTTTGTGAAAACCCCATTTGATCGACTCATAGAAGTTTTTGGTGCTCCACCACCTGCTCCAGTCCCTGACATCACCATCTTGAATGTCTAGGAACTTTAGCTTCTTTTCTTGAAGTAGTTGCAGACAGACGTTTTCATGCAAAATGTGTGAAAAAACTCGAGGATCCAACCTGTAGGCAAATATTCATGGCAAATATTCATGGCACTGTAGTCAAAATTGCGTGTCGAATATTTGCGTATTTTTGTTGATGAATGTGAATTTTTTTTTATTTGTTGTTACTCGTAGCTTTTTGTTGTATTATTGACATCTAAATGGGTAATTTTAATATGTTGTCCTTTGTATGGATCTTTTTTTAGTGCACTTTTAGATTATTCATGCTTGTCGATAAGTTGATCTTTGTATATTTTCATTTTAAAGGCTTCATGTTTTCCTTACTTATTTCTCGCTCCTACCATGTATTAACAATTGCTGAAATAACTAACATCTTTTGAATTTAGGATGGATCCGCAGCAGAAACGTCGTAAAAAAATGACATGTGTTGCAGCTATTGCAATATTGTTGTTGGAGTATTATCGATACAACAGTGTTCGTATACCCAATATGAAGTCCAGTTTTATTGGGGATAAATGGGTAGGTGAGATGCTTTATGGACATCCAATAAGATTTAGCAACATATTTCGAATGAGTGTACCTATTTTTATGAATCTTCTGCACGAGTTATCTCTGAATCACGGCCTCCAAGATTCTTCTAGAATGACAAGAAGAGAGATGTTGGCTATAACATTATACATTCTGTCACAGAACGAATCTATTAGAGGTGATATGAAGAGATTTCAGCATTCATCGGAAACAATAAGTCATTACTTCTCCAAAGGCATACAGACACTTGTTAGCTTGGCAGCTCAAATCGTTAAGCCGGATGATCCATCATTTGCTAGTACTCCAGGAGAAATTGCCAACGATCCTCGTTACATGTCTTATTTTAAAGTAACTATTAGTTTCTCTACGTTACTTCCAAAATTCCGCTTTTTTCAAACATTGTAAAACAAAACTGCATAAATGCAATTGACGGTACTTACGTCGATGTCCGACTACCAAGCCAGGACAAGGTGGCGTACATTGGTCGTAGTTGTTCAACTACTCAAAATGTCATGGCAATATGTGACTTCAACATGTATTTCACTTTTGTCATGGTCGGCTGGGAAGAAAGTGCTCATGACAGTCAGATTTTCTCTTATGCAACTAGGAATAGATCACAGTGTTTTCCTCACCCACCTTCAGGTGTGATTTGATTTGAAAGGTTGTCTGGGAATAGATCACAGTGTTTTCCTCACCCACCTTCAGGAGTGATTTGATTTGAAAACGTATTATTTATATGTTTTATTGGTCATTAATAGTGTATTCCATAACAGGGAAATATTATTTGGTTGATGTTGGATATCATATACAGAAAGGTTGTCTGAAGTCATATCCAAACACTAGATATCATATTACTGATTTTGAGCAAGCACATGAGGCTGAGGGTATGGCTAAGAAGAAGGAAAAACTAAACCTCAATCAAAAGTGAGGTCAATTGGAGCTCAAACATGGATGTAGCGGTTTGGGTTGGGATCCTATTAAGTAGACATCGTTGCCCCAGAGGAATGGTAAGCTGAGAAATTGGAGGTAATAAACTCATTTTTATACTTTTATTTTAATTTACATTACTGTGGGGGCAGCTATAGCAACATGTCTTCTAGGATTACGAGAACAAGCAGAGTTGTTTTGTATTACTGTGGACTATCTGCTCCGTTACTCACGTCACGTCAGCCTCACAGCAGTGGAAGACAGTTTTACGGTTGTCGCAAGGGTGTTTCAGCTCGTTGTGGTTTCTTCTGATGGGTCGACAGTCCAACATGTTACACTGCCAGCAGTGATCAGGATACGATGATTTCAAAGGTTGACAGTGCAGTTGAGAACAGACGTAGGCATAGTCAGAGTTTGAAATTGAATATTTTAATATTTCTCATTGTAATTGTAATTGTATGTATCCCGTTTTTCTATTTCTTCTGATACTCACGAGAGTGTGAGCAATGTATGTTATTTTTTTAACTAATCTGTGATGATTTCAGGGCTCTGTATTAGATACTTCTGTTCTCATTTTAGTCTGTTGCAAACAGTTTCACCAAATAAAGGCATGCAGGTCATTTATCTAGCAACAGCTATCAATAAGCTATTATGAATAAGCTGCCTCAAACAACAAGTCAGCTTATTCTGATAATCTGCAGATTATCAGATTATCAGAATAATTTGTTTATCACCATATTATAAATAATCAACAGCTACCCCAAACAGACCCTCCGGCTTGCGAAGGCATTAAGGAAATCACGATATTAAAACGCCACGGCACAAAAAATTCAAACCCAACGTGATATTCAAACATGACGGCGGCGTTTTGAGAACGCCGCCGCACCTATAAGCTGCCCCAAACGGGCCCAAAGTGGGTACTATGCATGTAGATGCCACTAGAGAAAAAACAACTTCTAATGCAAAGGTAGCAATTCAAAACTAGAAATAAACTTTAGATTATTTCTTGGAATTAGCGTTCTTCCTGGGTGGCAAGCCAAACTAATTGCCCCTGCAACTACTCACATGATTAATAATCCAGATCCATATAGGATTTTTGCTCTTATTGAGATTCCTTTTACTGTGTTATTGGAGACATGGGTGATCCAGACTCACTCTGCCATTTCTAATGTTAGCATTTCTCATACAAAAGAGCTTGCGGATAAAGAGTTTTAAATTATATAAGCAGGAAGATTAAAAAAGAAAACTAAGTAAACTGTCACTCAATTTAGACTTTTTTAATGAGAATCCTTTGGGTTCTTTCCTTTTGCTTGTTGATTCATTCACCACATACTGACCTTGTAAATGTATTTTATTCATCTAGTAATTTTTTGCAATTGCTTTGTTTTACTTTCTTTCCATTCGCTGATAATAATATTTTTTTTGCTTTAAGAAAATATAAGGCATAAAAAGGACGAAAACCTTAAAATCCAAACATCAATCATGCCTTTGTAGACATAGGAACATCATTCTAATTAAAACCTTAAATTTACCTCGCAACCAAGAACCCAAACAGGATAAAAGCAGAAACCAATCAATTAAAGCAAAGGAATAAAAAAAATAGAATGCATGATTTATAGTGAAGAATTTAGTGTTTCAATGCAAAAAGCAAACTGAAGATAATCATTCATGCCTAAACATAGTGGTGGAACAAACCTGTAAACTGAGACAAAGTAGATCAGAAAGCCTTTTCAAGGTGATCCTTGAATAATACTTTGACACAACTAAGATATTCTGCACTTCAAAAAATGGCACTTAGTATATTCTGCTTATCAATGAAAGTAAAACGAAGGCTAAAAAAATTGATTTTTGAAGTGAGTAATCTTACATGCTCAATAATTCTCAATTTTAAATCATCTGCCGCCTTTGGTACTAAAGGTCCCCCAAGCAAGTTCTTTTCACTCTCAAACTCATCTTTATACATATTCCAAAGACTCGTCCACTGGATCACCTCCATTGTCATAAGTTGCTTTAACAACAACCTAAACAGAACATCCAAGAAGAGAAGCCCACAAAAAGAGGTCAAACATCAGGAACTAAATGAGAATGAAATGAAATTTGAACTGATAAAAGATAAGACTAAGAACCAAAAACAAAACTCTACCGAAAATGAGGAATCTCTGACAGATTTTTATCATCCAAAGTAGCACTAAGAAGGCTAGACTGCATTGGATCATGTGGTGACAATACTAAATACCAGCAAATTTTTCTTAGCACCTACAGGTAGAAAACAAATTCATTATAAACAGCTTCAAAAATCAAAATATATCAAATGTCAAATAAGAGGAGAAAATTACTGGCATCCATTGCGATTGATTCTCCCGAATTGATCCAATTTCATATATTGCCTTATAACAACGACAGATTTCAAGGTAATCATTGTTATGTGAATGATATCTATACCACAAGAAATAGTACAATAAATTACAAAATCAAAGAAAATTTAACATTGCATTAAAAAAGTAATTCAGAGAAAAGCAATCAGTGGTTGAATGTCCTAAATCCACGATTAAATATCCAACATTATAATTCATATAGTAGCATATTCCCGTTTTGGAGATTAAGCACCTCAGTTTGAAGTGTATTTATAACAGTGTCTTATTTGTTCAACATTGATTGCTAACATAAAATTTTCCTCTTCAGATGAAGATTATTCACAAAATATGGTATTCTAAAACCAGGAAAAGAAAGAAATTTTCACAGGCACTACAAAATATGAGCAGGTTAGGACAAAAAACAACATTTTTCATTTCTTTTCAGCATAAAGAATTGAATAATCATAATCATCATTTGCCTAATCTCAACTCTTTTGTGACAATTTTATGAATTGCCATTATCTATTCATTAATTTTTAATGTTGGATGAGGTGTTAAAACTATTATTTACATGTAGAAAAAACTATGCATATTTTAATAATCGAAATAACATGGCACATATACGCATACAAATATTCTAAGGCATTTCCATACTTGTATCATAGCAAGAAAAAGAGCAATAAGCATATGGTATCTATAATGCTGAAAAGGCGGGGTCCATAATGTGTTCCGCGATATCCAACAGTCTTATAGTCAGCACATTCACATTGAAATAACATAAATCTGGCATGGGCTTTATATGAAATTTATGAGATATATCCCTGTAAGCTACTTTTGCTCGTATATCAGTACAGAAAGACAATGTTTAGTCAGCGATGATGACAAAGCAAGGAAGGACCTGATTCAGCATTTTAACTTTTGTTTGAGGATTAAGTTTGTCTTATTCATCGGAGATCCCTCCTATTTATGATATGCGATTAAGTATGATAGTTTAGGGAACACTCAAGTAATAATACCAGTCTCCAAATATAAAAGAATTTCTCACTAAAATGTTTCTCCAAGTTTAACTCTCCCTCTCAAATTGGAGTATATATATATTTTTAGCTCTGGTTTTTACAGTCGTAAAAGAGGTAGAGAATACAAAGCCTTTGTAAAGATATTAACCACTTTTACAAATCAAATTCTTGATTAATGAAAATCTCTAGAACATGCAACATCTCAAATGGAATGAAAATCAAGCTCAACAAGGTTTATCCTTCTATGGAATACAAAATTGCCAGCAATGTAAATGGTTGCATTATTGTAATAGTACAAAACCATAGAATATGTAACAAGAACACCAAACACTACTAAAAGAGTTGTTACCCATATCATTTCACAAGTAGAGTGAGCTAACCCCATTTTGAGCCTCAACATTGGATCTAGCCACAACAATTTGTTTCTTACTTTTCTAAGTGACTAAAGTCTGCGCCCCCCACCAATAACAAATTTATAATATCCAAGGTTGACTTCCTCTCATCAATGAAGCCAACATAATTGGCATAAAAAAAAAACTGCCTCGACATTTTTTCAGAAGACATTTAGTTTATCAAAGTATGGGTTGAACAACCTCCCATGTTTTAAATTTGGATTTAGCTTTTCTTTTTTCTTTTTTTCTTTTTTGGCTACCAACACCAACAAAAAAATTGATAGTTTAGAACAAATGGCAACTAGCTAAATCAATTTTTCAATTAAAAGTTCATATCAAATGGGTCATCAAAGGGTTCCTCATTATCCAATGATCAAACTATCTTATAGAAGCATCAACAGGTTTACACCCAGCAAGACTAATCTATTCAAGAAGATTGATAGTATATTTCTTTGTGAAGTAGATATCTCTGTTTAAGTAGGTATATTATACCCAATGAAAATACATTGGTCATCCTAAATATTTAGAAAGAAAATAATTTTGCAGATAACGTTTAACCTCAAATATGCTCTTTTTATCGCTTCCAATGAGAAAAAAATTACCAACATAAATAATAAGAGCAATGGATACTGATGGTGTATGTATAAAAAATAGAATGAATTACAAGTCTAATTTGAAAAATAATCTTGACAAGAACTTTGAAGAATTTTTCAGAACATGCATAAGCGCTCTGTTCCAATCCATAAAAAAGCTTTTATATCGATTGATTAAAATATTAAAGTGCAATTTGATAGAGACCAACCATCAAAAGCCCAAAAAAAGATCAAATTCCAAGTATGACAACTGGACAGAGAATACAACCTGACATCAATATCATGTTTCCATAAAAGATTTGTTACATTGCCTAATAAGTCCTTAGAATAAATATAAATGATAAGGCCAAGAATAATTGAAGCAAAAATTGAACAAAACCACATAAAAGTGAAAGGAAATAGTGGAGCATTCATCTTCACCATTTTGTATGGAAATTGCTAAATAAAGATTAAATAGCTCATTTTCAGGTGGATTCTTAGTCGATTCGGACAATGTGAACGGGTATTTGTTTGTTATGGAAGGTGGTCAATATCTTCAAGACTGATTAACCCTTAGTGGAGACTGGAGTTGAAGTAGATATACGAGTTTTGAGAAGACGACGCATGGCAATGATGAATCAAATGGAGATGGAGAAAAGTAAAGTGCAGTATTATTAAAAGTAAGATAACCTGTGAGTCAGATGAGAAAAGCATAACGTTATAGCATTTCTAAAAACAAAGAAAAATACACCTATTGATGTATTGAGAAAGCTTGACATTCAAATATCTAAGTTGTAATAGAAAACTAAAACTTGCCAAAACAAAAGAGAGAGAGGGACAGAGAAATTGTTGAAAGTTTATTAGAAAGAAGATAAAAAGCTTATGAGATGCAGACTATAAAACTAATAGTAACAATAATTCATATGAAACACAAGAATCCTAGAAACATTAAGCAAATGATGATTGTTGCATTTAGTGATACAATTCTATTGAGATATATGGGGATAAAAGGTTTGATTAATAAGACTACTGTCAAACTGAAATCACGAAACTAAGATTGCAGTATTCCAGAGACAATTGTATCAAACATTAGACTTAGCAATATCAACTATATAATGATTTGTTTATTCAGCGGCACCATTCTATTGAACTATATATGGCCAAAAGGTTTGATGAAGCGTACCATTGCCAAAATAAAAATTGTGAAACTAAGATTGCATAAACTCCAAAGCATTATCAGTATGTGAAGTTTCATTTGATGTAGAAATTGAATTTTATATTTTGATAAGAAGTTTTGAAAACAAGAAAAGTCTCCACTTAATATAAGAGCAAACAAACTCAAATGGCCTAAAAATAATCATCAATTAATGTCACAAAATATTATAGATAGGTAAGAATTGAATGAAGAACCCAATATATGAGCGCACTAGAGCAAAATCAAGATTTTGATGACTAGTGGAAGAAGGAAGAAACACACAACAATGTTCCATCTCAAGGAAAAAATAGTCAAAATTGGAGGGATGATGTGTGGGAGGTGGGGAACATAATTTTGAGGTATACTAGGAGAAGGTAGCCTTTTGACAGTGCCATGGGTATGGAAACTTCGTTGAAGGAAGAGCAGAAGGCCTACAACTGTTACGAAGCAAACTTTTCCATCTAAAACTCTACCTTTCATTTTCCTCAAGCTAAAATCCTTAAAACAAAAATAAGAGTGATTTAAATTTATTAAACAATTAAGGCTTTCGTAAGGAAAAAAAAAACATCAGAAAGAGCTAGTGATTAACAAGTATGTAAAATTCCCCACCTTTTATATGACAAGATGCACTGGAATTTAAAACACGAAAGTACCAATTGAGAAAACTGCAGTGAATCCATAGAAAGGTATAACATGAGAGGCTGAGAGAGATATCTATGATTGTTGAGAAGAAAAGTCATAATCTTCCTAAGAAACAGCAACTAAGCAAGAGGAAGAAGCACTAGGAGAAGGCTGATATAAACTGATTGTCGAAGAATGCTGATTAGCAGTGGGTAAGCAAATTTATCAATTTATCACAACAAAAATCAATAAAATGATCAATGTGGCTGTAGTGAGGACAAGCAGAAAATGTATTTTACCACCACATCCATAGTAGCCACAAATCTGGTGTTCACCGTGTCCACAAATCGCTCTTATCAACCCAGGGATAACAAAAAAAGTCGGTTGATCAGTGTGAGAGGAGTCAATGACACAAAGAACTCAGAAATGTGCGTCAGGAAATACGGAGACAACAATTAACTGAGATTTTAAACCCTTTAATGAAAGATGAAAGTCAGAGATATATGTTGGCAACAGAAATTATTCATTATTTGTACTGCCAAACAGTCATGTTAGTAGTTAAAGGTCAAAACTTGAGCAACTCATCCCATCTGTCTCTTGGAGTGTTATAGTATTCTAATATCTACATGTCATATTGTTGGAGGAAAAAAAAGTCAAATTAAAAAGATAAAAACACGAGAGACGTTAATTTCTTAAAAGTAAAATGAAGAAAGTTTAAAATGATCATGGTTGAGACTTGAAACATGGTTTTTGACTGTTGAGGCAACCAAAGTTCTAGCCTAACCACTTAAAACAGTAAAATAGTATGATCAAATACTTTCCATTCAAAAAATTAGATAATGTCAATACTATCAGGTAGAAATGCATCAAGGTGGAATTTATCTTAAGAGAACACAAGGAAGCAAAAAACCACACACCATTAAATCTAAGAGTGGTATTGATGCTAAGGAAGGCTTTCAAATCATTGAACAAAACAAAAAAGTCGTGATTGTGAGAAAGAGACTCAAAGAATTTCATATTTAACTCAAAAAATTGAGAGGAGACTTAAGAAGCAAACGTTCCATAATAGAGTTAGCAAGAAAAGCAGTTGGCGGCAGTGGAGGCTATCAAGCATATATATACAGGCCCTAAAAGGTGTCATGGTTAAAAGCATGAACAAGAGTGGGAGGATTGGGTGTAGCTGAAAGCAGAAGCCGGCAAGGGGGAACAAGGTTGTGGACAAGCATGGTAAGGAGTGTGGAGTCACATGCATGAATTGAGAGAGGGATCGCATGCAGCAGTTAGCA